TCTCTCTGTTTCCTTCTCCCTGTTTCACAAATCTTTGAAACTGGAGCTCTGTACTGAGCAGTGTACTGAGCAAGGGAGACGGGGGAGAAGCAAAACCACTGAAGAAACATCTTGGTGTACTTTTGGTTTTGTGATAAGTTGTGACGTTTCTTGCAAATGAGTAGTTCTCAGAATTAAGTTCTTACCTAAATAGAGTGTGTGAGACTGAGACTTTGTGCCTGCAAATGGCGAGTTCTGCTGCTTCTCCCTCTTAACATGCTGGAAAGCTACAAAACTGGTAAATGAGCAGGAATTTTTGTTTGTTTTCCTCAGGCAAAATACATCTCCCAGTGCATCGATGAGATCAAGCAGGAGCTGAAGCAGGATAACATTGCAGTGAAAGCAAACGCCGTCTGCAAACTCACATATGTAAGTGCCTTGCTGGAATCACATCTTTATTTGTTTTCTTTCTTGCCTGCTGACTAGGAGCCAGTCTTCATTCTGAGATCCCCAGCTTTTCTGGGGCTGTTTTAAGTGCAGGCTGCAGGTGAAAACACTCCCACATCTGATGTCAGAGGCTGCATATTCCCACTCTGTTCATTGTCCTGGCTCTAGTATTGGTACAATTTTATTTTATTGAGATAGGTCAGGAAGCTAATCTGGTTTAAAACTAATCTAATCAAAAAACCTTGTTTTAAAGGGGATTCTTTCTTATCACACAGCGCACTTGAAACTGGTGTTTGTTTCTCTTTGCGCAGTCCTTTGTCGAGAAGGAGAGGAGGGAAATACTGTTAAATAATTATTTATGTGGTTCTGTTCTGATTTTTATTTAAAAAAAAAAAATCCAGGAAAAAAAACCCTTCACAATGATGGTTATATAACTACATGTGTCATACCTGGAACTAATGCAAACTATTCAAAACTTGCTTTGGAGGAACTTTGAGACTTCTTCCACTTACTGCGAGTGGCATAGAATGTAACATTGCTCATATACTTGAGATGTCTCACAGTATTATTATTGGACTCTCATTGCATCTTCAATTTTCTGAGGTATCTTGACCTATTTTATTGAGTCTCTTATTTCAGAAGTTTTGTTATCTTGGCTTCTCTGCTCACAGTTACAGATGCTGGGCTATGACATCAGTTGGGCTGCTTTCAACATTATTGAAGTCATGAGTGCATCAAAGTTTACATTCAAAGTGAGTTCTCTGGGTAACTACAACCGTACTAGCCAAGCTGTTTCATTACTGTGTTTAATCAGTGCATTGGCCCATCACTTTTTGGTTTGCTTTCTTCACTATGGGAAGGAAATAGACTGTATTTATTTCTAGTAAGTGGATAATACTTGGCCTGCTAGTACAGGCTTTTTTTACGAGATGTTTGGCAACAAAAGGTATCTTTTGTGAAAAAACAGAATATTTTTATGTCAAGACCACCTAAGATAGTAGCAGGCATATTTGATTTTGTAATAGCTTTATAATTTTTCTTGAAAGGTTTTCTTCATGCTCTGTGTTGATGACCTTTCTCACCAAACAGGGTGAGAAATGTTACTTTGTAAGGAACAGCTTCCAAATTGGGCTTTAGTACCTAAAAGTCAGGAGTCAACACAGACAAAATAAATGTAATATTCTTCATTTCTTCTACTGCCAGTCCCACCTTATTTCTTCCTCTTTGTGATCATTGAACCTGTGTGTTCTAACAAAGCAGAGAAGTTGATTTGTTATCCTCAAGATAGATGTGTTATCACTAGATGTGACCTGTGAGATTATTCTTCCCCAATATAAACCCGCTTTTCTAGAGAACCCTGTTATGCAAACCTGCTGCCTAATTGTTCCTCTTTTTAATATTGCTTGTGAAGCTGCCAGATGTTGTTTATCTAAACATTATCTAAACTCACTTTAAAATAAATATATTTTGTTTTTCCCCGTTGCCTTTTTACAGAGAATCGGTTACCTAGCTGCCTCTCAGTGCTTTCATGAAGGGACTGATGTAATTATGTTGACTACTAATCAGATCCGAAAGGTAAACTTTTAACTTCATTTCTTAATTTTTTTTTCTTGTACTGTCTCTCTACTTGTATTTTTAAAATCTGTACAGAATATTTCTCTTCTGGGAATATAAAGGTGTTTTAAATAGAATTCTATTTACTTGAATCATAGAATGGTTTGGCTTGGAAGGGACCTTAAAGTTCATCCAGTCCCAACCCCCCTGCCAGCAGCAGGGACACCTTCCACTAGACCAGGTTGCTCAAAGCCTCATCCAGCCTGGCCTTCAACACTTCCAGGTTAAACACTTCCAGGTAGACTGTAAACACTTGGTTTACAGTCTACTCGACTCCACAAGCTGAAGCATTCATGACGTATTTAAAAGCTGTCCATAGGCTCCCCTCCTGCTGTCTCATCCCAGCTCTCTGTGTTTATTCATCACAGTGAACAGTGGCAACAATAAACTTTGTTAATATTACTGGTCTCTTAGGCCTTGTAAGAATGTAATGGATAAGAAAAATGTCCCCATTCCTGAAGTAAAATGAGCAGTCACCTGGCTCCACAAAATTTCTGTTTGTGGGGGCCTGTTTTCTTCTGGTAATAACAGATGAGGCTTTTAACTTGTTTGGTGTAATTGTGTGTAAAAATGGTGGAGTGTATGGAGTGTTCTGTATTAATGTCCCAAAGTGTGTTGTGTTCATTTTCATAGAGCTTCATCACTTGAATTTTTTCAGTTATTGGGTTGCAGGTTTATTTTCCTGTTCCTCAGATTACAGATACATTTTTAAAGCTCTTAAGTTTAATTTTTTAAAGTATTACTGCTCTAAAACTTGACTGATCCAGTACAAGATGTACCTACGTTTTTATCACCTAAGAGGCTAAAATGTCTTTTACTTGCTTACAAAAAGATCTGCAGGATGTTATCCAGCATCTTTCCTAAAGACTTAGTGTTTTTTCCCTTTATCTTTTAAACTGTTCTGCTCTGACAAGTGTATATTTTTAATAATGTCCATCCATTTTCTTTACTATGGAGACTTCATTATACTAAATTTCAGCCACTTACTAGGCTATTCCTTCCTTTTTGTGCCTGAGTTTTTACTTATAAGCATCTTTATTTGTACCTTTTCACGTTTCATTAATCTAGCAACTTTGTATTTGAAGGGGCTATCATTTCTCAAAGCCAGGATGAATTGCAGAATTTAAAGAACTAGATTTCATTATTCTGAAAGTAGAATATAATTTCTTGCCACCTGCAAGAGGTTTTAAAATGAGATGCAAATGGCACAGAACCCTGAAGGCCTGACAGTGTTTAGCTCTGCTGAAGCAGCCTCTGTGTGCATGTCAATTTGGACGGTTGATTCCTGTAGCTCATGTGTTCACATCGTGTTCCTGTTTCATAATAACCGCGGTTAAGGATTGATCCTGTGATGTTCTCTATTCAGTGGGGTCTGATTCTATAATTGAATGTACTCAGATATGAATGTTAATATTGTTCAGAGCCTGAATGTTAACATTGTTAAGAGCCTGAAGCTTAGAAAAATCTGAAAGACCATGTAGGATACTGACTACAAATTAGTCCAAAGAAATTTGACCAATAAAATGTATTCTACACTCTAGCTTGTGTTATGTCTTTATGGACTGAAAATTATGGTGCTGCCAGCACCTTGAAAGGAAAGTAAACTCATTTCTCTGATAGATGAAGCTAGGACACTGTTAAGCACTTGACAAGAGTGCCTATTCCCCATGAAATTCATGACAGTTGGGCTTTGACTTAACGGGTTTAGTGTTTAATACCAGATTTTTAGTATTTTAAACATGTTTGTGATCTTGTCATGAGTTTTTAAAAACTATTTACCAGTCCTAAAATAGCACCAAGGTACAATATCTCTCATTGCTTTTATGTTGCACTCATCCATCTGTTGTTTGGCCATGATTCCTCATGCCCATTATTAATCCTCGGCCTACCTGTATTTTAGCAGGTGTTGGAGGACATTCCTGTTAATAGTTGATATAAATATTCCCATGGAGTAGAAGCTCTGCTTCTTGAGTGAATAAAATTCGTCTCGGACAATTGTTTCTCAACATCCTGTGTGATCTTAAATTTTTGAGCCTGTTTTTCCTTTTTTAGGATCTGAGTAGCCCTAACCAGTATGATACTGGAGTTGCACTGACTGGCTTGTCCTGTTTTGTTACTCCAGATCTTGCCAGGGACTTGGCAAATGACATCATGACACTGGTGAGTTGATAAGATTGAAATAACTTTTTCCTGTAATTACAGAATGTTAAATTATTCAAATCTGGTGAATACCTGTTAAATTTAGAACTGTTGCATGTGAAAACTGAGGCTTTGTTCTTGTGGGATTTTTGAGGAGCCTTTACAGCCCTTAGTTAGTACGTGAGGATTACCTTGAATATTTCTTTTAGTTTTGGAAATAGCTGACAGTATTTTGCTCTCCCCTCAAAGCTGAGTGTTCTAAAAGTAGTTGAGTCTCCCTGGGAGAAATTTTGAGACAGTGATGTGAACATATGGACCTTGAGAAGAATTCTGGAAACACAGATTTACCTGATTGTAATTGTTTCATTGACAGATGTCTCATACAAAGCCTTATATCAGGAAGAAGGCAGTGTTAATCATGTATAAAGTTTTTTTGAAGTACCCAGAGTCTCTCCGTCCCGCGTTTCCTCGCCTTAAAGAGAAACTTGAAGATCCAGATCCCGGTAAGTGGATTTCAGTAAATTACTTCTGCTTCAAAACATCTGGGTGTACATAGTTTTAGAGCTTGTGGAGAGAAGAGTATGTGAAATATGCTGTAGTCATCTCTTGGGTACCGATTGACCCCTTTAATAGGTAGATGAGTATCTGAGAGTTTTAACAGATGTTGCCATATTAAAAATACATTCTTTAAATGTATTTTCAAATACATTTCAAACCCAAAGCTGTTGAAATTATATCAGTGGATTAAACCTTAATGGGACAAAGCTACCTCGTGATTCCTGGTTCGTTGCTTACTTTTCTTGACTATTGAAAATACTTCAGTTGATTTCTGGGTTTGGGTGTTTGTGGTTGTTGTTTCCTGTGCTCTTTTACAAGGCTGCAGCTATTGGTGTGCAATGGATAATTTCACATCACTTAGTATATTTTTTTTTTCTATTTTTTAACTTTAAATTTTGAGTTCAGAGTGCTGTTGAGGCCCTTCAGTACTGTGTCAGTGCAATGTAGCTGCAGCACAGGGAATTTGCAATTGCTTTGTATCACATTCACACTTCTGGAAGTGTGCTGGTCTGCCCTCACTGCACCAAAACGCTGTACACTTGTTTTGAGGATTCTGTGTGCTGTGCAGTTTTGTGATCCCCAGCTGATTGCGTCTGTATTGAGAGAGAGAGAAATTTAATTGCATGTACTCGACTGATATGGTGTGGGCATGTAAGATGCATCTTCCAAGGACAATGTTTTTTTAAAAAGAAACCCAAAACACACACCTACAAACAGAGGAAGAAACTATTTATGGTGGTTTATGGAAGAAAGGACTGCTCTGTGTAAGAAAACCCAGACTGTCTAGAATAAAAGATTCCAAACTGAGAACAATCAATTTAGAGGCTGAGCAATTAGAAAGGAATAGGCTTGTCCAGTCAGATTGTTTAAGGATTCATTATTTTTGTGTTGTAGTTAAGCATGAATAAATAATACATTTTAAAGAAACAAGAGTGTTTGGAAACTTCATGGTGGGTAGGATTATTGAATATTGTGTTGCCTGTGTCCCACAAACAAGCTGACCACAGGAAAGAGGAAGGAGGTTGGCAGCATCCTCTTCTTTCTAATAATACTGGACCCAAAGCAGATACGCAGCTTGCTGATATATTAGAAAATATCCAAAATTGAATAAAAGCCTTTCTCAGTTTGTTTTTACATTCTTGTATTTATTTATAATTCACTCCCTCCTGCTTGGTAACGAGGCTGAGCTGTTCCTCTTGGACACACAGGTCTGAATGTTTAACTGCTTTTGTTCTGGGGGTTCTGCACCAGAAACTTCAATTACAATTAAGACACTGATGAGATTTCTGCTTTTCCCACTTCTTTTCTCAGGTGTGCAGTCTGCTGCAGTAAATGTTATTTGTGAGCTGGCTCGACGCAATCCCAAAAACTACCTTTCCCTTGCTCCGCTCTTTTTCAAGTTGATGACGTCATCAACCAATAATTGGGTTCTCATTAAAATTATAAAACTGGCAAGTATTCTGGGTCTGTGTTTACAGGATTGGGGTTCTCCTTAAATTACCATGGGTGCAAAAAAAAATACCCTCTTCTTTGGAGGTATAGTTACCGTTAAATCCGAATAAAAAGAAACCAAGAATAACTTCTAATGTTTCAAAGTGAGAAAAAAATTTTAATATAACTTGGTTTAAATATAATGAGCTGCAATTTTAAAGAGTGTAAAAACATGAATTAAAGTAGCTATTAAATCACTTTCTTGTCTGCACTTCTTTTTTAATAGTTTGGTGCTCTTACTCCATTAGAACCTAGACTGGGAAAGAAATTGATTGAGCCTCTGACCAACCTCATCCATAGGTATGTGTGAGAAATGCGACTGTGTTCACTCAGGATTGTGAAGTGCCTGTTGGGTGGGCCAGTAGCTAGATCTGTGGATGTATTCCTGAATTTTTTTCTTGAGCCTCGATATATCAGCTTCAGGTATCAAAAGATAATCACATCAGGACCATTTCTGAAAAACCTGAGTGAGATAAAATACCTTAAAGGAAAGGCTTTGGGTGTCTGACTGTCAGCATGAATTTCTCCAAAGCGTGCATGAAAATTGGAGTAATTTGCTTTCCTTTCACTTCACTTTAAGCCAGAGATGACTATGGGGAATGTAGAAAAACTCTGACTTAAAAAAGGCTCAGCTGTATATTTGCCTCTTCTGTTCACCTACATACGTTTTGTTCTTGCCTTACCCACCACAGCAGCGTGGCAAGGAGTGTATTAAAGTTCTTTCTCATGTCTTTGTCAGCTGAGACATGTTTAGGTTCCTTTAAGAGATGTCCTAAATACATATTAGATAAATTTGAAGGTATTTCCTTGTCCTTTGTTAAAACTGTTTCATAGTGTTGGTTTGGATCTAATTCTAAACTGAAAGCAGAAAGTGGATGCCTTGGAGGGAATACATGTATTTTTCCAGTTATGAGAAGGAAGTATGATTCTTATGCCTGAGTTGTTAAATTAAAAGGCTTGTTTCTCTTCATGTGGCCAAGTAAGAGAGGAATGAGCAATTTTTAAAAAGATATCCGTGTAGCCATTAGAGCAGCTCTAGCCAAACAATTTCTCTCCATCCTTCTAATATATCTTTAAGGCTGGTTCAGAGCAAAGCAGCCAGCAGCCTTACATCCAAATACCTAGAGAGGCAGCAGTGACAAATACATACAAATTCACCAGAAACAGTACTTGGCCAGAAAAAGCAGGAAGGTGGACAGCATGTCTTCAATCTTGCCTCTACTTCCTCATTCAAACTCCCACATTAGTCATTAATTTTATTATTTGTGAGGACTTAATCCTGTTCAGTTTGGGCTCCAGTCAGTCATTTTGAATCTCATATCACCTTACACGTAAGGCAAACCACCCTGCCACCCACCACGAAGTGCAGAGGGAGCAAAAATGATTGCCTGGGTTGTGAGCATGCCAGAGTCACGTGTGTGCTGTGCTGGGTGACCTTCACAGTCTCACTTCTGACTGCTGCCTCCAGAGCTGGTTGCCCACTGCAGACCTTGCTTCAGGAGGCTGCTCCTTTGTTACTTGTGAGGTTTGCTGTGTTTCCCTCTTGTGTAGATCAGGATTTGTAAGTACCTTTGAAATCCTCAGAATTACACTGTGTATGTGTTCAACTGGCAAAAGTTGGCTTGGATTTTAAGTTTTGGGGGGAAATTGGACATTGAAAAGATGTTGTTCACTTATAGGGATGTGTGTCCCTCCCTGCCAGAAGAGAGTCTGCTGTTTGTGCATGTCTCGTTGGCTTTGGAGGGTGAGGCTTGGAAGTCCTCCATCTGCCTGCCTGATGGTGAAGTTTTGACCTTGGGCAGCAGATTCGATTTGATCCTTGGACAAGATTGCTTCAGTGCTCTGTAACTGGTGCTGAGGTTTTGAGTTCTTCCTCATTCCTGTGTCACAGTGCTGTCACTTGCTGCTTCTCAAGTGATTTTTTTTTTTTTTCCTTAACATTCAGTAGCTCTCCCTCTCCCCACAACAGTTTTTGAGTGAGAATCATTTCATCTAGCTTGAAGGTATATGGAGCAGAATACTGGCAATATCTTGTGTCATTAAAGGTGTTAACTAGCTCCAGGATATTGCTGACAACTCTTCAAAATGTGACGGTTTTATTCCTTATTTAAAATACTTGATTTCTGTTTCAGCACTTCAGCCATGTCTCTCTTATATGAATGTGTGAACACAGTAATAGCAGGTGAGAACTGAAGTTTGTAACCTAGAAAAAAAAACCCATTATGAACTTTGTCATTAATTAACACCATCTGAAAACCTTTTTTTTAACTTAATGTATTTTATAACTGAAGTAAGTTGCCTGGAAAACTTTGTGTCACTGTGTAACTGTAACTGAAATCCTCTGTTGGCAGTCGATGAGGTGCAGTTACTACAGCCATGCTGTATTTGCTAAAGGTTGAAACAAATTTTGAACAATGAGTGATAATTTATATGTTGCTAAAACTATCAACTATACCAGCAGCAATAGAATTCAAATATAACTGATGCCTCATGAAAACTTTGACAGTTTTCTTACATGATGAAGGAACAGACTTATTTTTTAATTCTACGATTTCACAACTTAAAAACTTGGTGTAATTCCTTAAAGGAGGTCACTGGAATCATTGATGTACAGTTTTGGTTTCTGGGGAAGAGATGTGAACTCTGTAACGGGGGTGTCACTCTGCATTCTTTCATTCCTTCAGGGAAATGTGAGATGACATTATGAGGAGGGTAAAAAAATAACAGTGAGGTTAATTCCATTGTGGATGAGAATGTGCTTCCCTGAAATACAGTTGGATAATTCTGTGGGTCAAAGGAAAGTTCACCCACCCAGGACAGCTCAGGGACTGTAATGTAAAACTCAAATTCAGAAAATGAGATGTGAAGCTGGTGCCTGTGTTACAGCAGCACCTTGCACTTGCCAGCGCTTTGCACGCCCCAAACTGACAGCACCTCACACGCCTTCCCTGAAATGCAGCTCTGCAGGATTGTGGAGAGCAAAACGCCACTGTATTTCATTGCCACTAAGGTCAGCATGTGTGACTTGCCCAGTCAGAGTTGGGGATGGTAGGGACGTGCTGTATGACAGCAGCAGTTCACAAGGTGATGCCACCTTTTCTGCTGTGGGCTTATGTGCTGCCAGAGCTTTACAAATGTCCAATATCATCAGCAGTGGGACCTGATTTTTGCCTGGAGTCTCTTGCTGGCTTGATTAAAGTTCTAATCTAATTACATTAAACTCTAAGATCCATTGCTGCATCTTGGTACATTAGGGAAGTGCACACTTAAAGACTGAACTATACAGTAGCTGATGACATATTTATAGTCTTGAATGCTATGTGATGTCAGTGAAATAAACCTTAATGAGGGAAAGCATAATGAAAAGCAGCTTTGACCTGGCTGTTCCAGCAGTTCCTACCTTCACACTCCTTTCCCTGCCCTGCTATTATTACTCTTAAGGTGTATGAAACTACAGTTTCTGTAACGACCTTCTCTCCTCCCCCTAGACCCTCCAAAAGTCCAAGCAAACAGACAAACATAACCCAGTGTCTTTCCCTGTGAGCTGAGCTAACTGTTGACCTGTAGGTCTTGTGTTGTTGTGTTCATTCAGGACGCAGAAATACTGACTGAGGTTTGTGCTTGTGTATTTCAGTTCTGATCTCTCTGTCCTCTGGGATGCCTAATCACAGTGCTAGCATCCAGGTATGACACTGGGTTTTGGTGGGGTTATTAGAGTTCTACTGTACTGTGTTAATACCAAGTGCTGTGGAGAAACTGAATTGTGTTCCTCTGCCAAAAATTAAAGCAATGGCTCTTTGAAGTGCTCTCACTTGGGTGGAATCCTACAGACTGAAGCCCTTCCTATATAAATTCTCTTTTTCCTTTGCTCTATAATGGAGATCCTTCTCATTTTGAGTTTTCCTGACACTCTTACTCAGCTGCTACTATCAATACAATCATAGAGGTTCCTTTTGTTTTGAAATCTGTTAATGCATCAAGACCCTCTTACCTAGAGGCCCCGGGGTCTTGGTCAGAGCACTTCCTTGTGTATTGAGTAAACTTTATGAAGAGTTATTTGAATTAAGACTTTTAAGGCTTGTAATAAGCATGACATGGTCTTTTTTTTTTTCCCAGCTTTGTGTTCAGAAGTTAAGGATATTGATAGAAGATTCTGACCAGAACTGTAAGTATGTTGCTTGTCTTCATGGAAGCTTTTAGTAACCAGCCGCTGGGGAGAAATTGCAGCAGTCCTAGAGCAGTGATCTGTTTCTGCAAACAGCTTGTTCAGTATTGTAGTGCCTGGTACGTTGTAAACAATTGCTGGATTTTTGAATGTGGAAATAATTTTTGATAGTAAGCACTACTTTATAATGAACTTTTTTAAAATGAATGAGATTATTGCTGCTGTTTGTGGTCTTGTAAATCTAAAACAGTTCTCTTTTCATGCTCTGGGAAATCCCTTTTTAAAAACTTTCTGCTTAGAAAGTAGCGAGGGCTATTGTGTAGTGGAACTTACTTTAGTGACTACAAAGAACAGTGGTGAATCCTTTTTTGTGCAAACCTTTTTCCTGCCTCATGAATTTTTGCCACTGAGAAGAAGGCTCCTACTTAATACACCAGTCTTGTTAATGCTTTTAAAGCTGTGTTCATCCTAGGATGCCTGTTCTCAAAACCTGTTGTTTCTCTATAAATCAGTGATAAAACTTGAGGTGCAAGAAGACTGTAATGAGTATAATTATGTGCCTGTATATGAGATCATGAAATTAAAGATTATAATCTGTGATATGCTATTTCTCAAAAATTCTCTCCTCATCTTGATTTTTTGAGTGTATTAACGTTGGTTTTGGTAGTAACACTCGGTATTAAGGTTTCATGCTCAACCCAAAACAGTGTTTCTATATTTGGAAAGAAGTTTTATTTTGTCTTTCACAGTGAAATACCTGGGACTGTTAGCTATGTCCAAAATCCTGAAAACACATCCTAAATCAGTTCAATCTCACAAGGATCTCATTCTCCAGTGTTTGGATGACAAAGATGAGTCTATACGACTCAGAGCTTTAGATCTTCTCTACGGCATGGTATGTTTCTACGTGTGTTTCCTTTTCCCTCCAGCCCCGTGACTCTTTAGTTTGTTTTAGATGTTTAAGAAAAACATGCAACTTTCTCTTCCCCTCTCCCTACCAGTCTTGTGATAACAATGCCTATATCTTCTCTGGTACTTATGACAATTAAAAGATCTGGCACAGCGTAAGAGGACTTTAAAAAATGTGATTCAGACTGGATGGAGTTTCTGAGTTCAGGTGCTGTGGAAGTCACCCAGAAGGCTGCTTTTTATAATGCCTAAACTTTAGCAGCTCCTTCTGTCCTTCCTCTAGGTATGAAGCAGACTGTAGGTGTATTGGGATAGCTCTGTGCTGTTCTAGGTTACAGTCCACGTTGCAGCACACCCATAGCTCAGGTTGACATAAGGAAACAGTGTGGAGCACTCTGAAGTAACAGGAGAACTCAGCTTCAAGTTGCTTTATCATCAGATTTCCCCTTGATTGTAAATTTTGTTGTGCCTTTTAATGACATGTACAGAATCTCACTCTGTTTGTTCTCCCGTGGCTGCAGTTTTGTCCCAGCCTCCTTCTGCTGTGCAGGGCAGTTTATAAAATGTGCATAGGCTACAGGGGCAATCTTGTAGTGCCAACATTTGATCTCCAGAAGGGCTGTGGTTATGATTTATATAGGAAAGTGCCTTTTGCTCAAGAGTCTTTACTCCCCCACCGTGCATAAAGGGATCATAATAGATCAGATCTATCTCATAGTTTCCTATTTTAGAGAGGAAAGTGAAAAGTAAGAAGGACACCTTTTTTCTGGTACTCCTCATGAGATGAGAATAACAGGACAGTGGTTTTAATGTTGTTGCAATGAGAATGGAAATTTATTCTTATTTCTGGAGGTTAAATTCTGCTTGTTATGTCTTTAGTCAAAAGATAACCTAGGAGAAAGAGTCTACTATTTTGCTCAACTGATGATATTTACTGAATATTTTGGGGGCTTTATTTAGACAAGTAAATTTCCAGAGCAAGTTAATACAGCTATGTTTTGAAATGCTAGATTTCTGATAGATATTAATGACTCTTAAATTTGTTTAGTTTAGAAGCAAAAATGTTTTAAACTATTAAATTTGCTCCCTGGCAGAAGTAGAAGGTTCATTTTGTCCTGGATTTTTGTATTGCTGCTAGCAATTCTTATTCTCAGCTCTCCCACAGCATGGTCTTGTATACTGGTGCTGGCTCTGCTTTAATAATAACGATGAAAAGAAATAAACAGGTTCCTTTTTTTGGTTGTGACTGAAACTGGGGCCTAGAGAGGTGGTTCTGATTTCTTGTTAGTACATGACCCAGGTCCATCAAAGAGATAGCTGTTGCATTGATGGAATTAGAACGTGACAGTGTGGGAAATGGTTTTGTTTTGGTTCAGCTCTTCAATAACTCTTTTAACAGGTGTCGAAGAAGAACTTGATGGAGATAGTGAAGAAACTGATGATTCACGTGGATAAAGCAGAAGGAACGACGTACCGGGATGAGCTGCTGACCAAAATCATAGATATTTGTAGTCAGTCCAATTATCAATATATCACAAACTTTGAATGGTCAGTGGTTTTATGTGTCGACTTTGAGATCCTCAGCAATGGTAATGCATGGTTGTCTGCTGATAAAATTGCATCCTTTTCACTTTTTGTAGGTACATAAGCATCTTGGTGGAGCTGACTCGGTTGGAAGGCACACGACACGGACACCTTATAGCAGCTCAGATGTTAGATGTAGCTATCAGAGTTAAAGCCATTCGTAAATTTGCAGTTTCCCAGATGGCTATGCTTCTGGACAACGCTCATCTCATAGCCAGCAACACCCAGAGAAATGGAATCTGTGAGGTGCTTTACGCTGCTGCTTGGATATGTGGGGAGTTCTCTGAGTAAGTGCAAACAAAAAGCCTGACGCGCCTTGAGCGGCTGCTTTTGGGCAAAGATTCGGGTCACTAAAAAGTATTTTTGAGAGAAGGATGGTTTGGAGTATGCACCCTAAAGCTAACAAAATGATTGCTTCTTTCCCTCACTCCATAAAACTCCTCAGCTCTTTCTAGCCAAGACAGATAATTCGTTTTGAATATCTGGTCTTTTTTCTTATCTCTGTAGTTCTGCCCAGTCATGCAGGAACGCATAATTGTGGATATAAGCAGTAAGATCTTAAGGAACTCCTCAAATATTAAGGTCTAACCCCACTTACCTCATAGGCAAAATGTCCAATCACCATGTTTGACTGAATTATTTTTTTATTCTCCTTTGTTGAAAGGTTTTTGCAGAACCTAATCTTTCTGAGGATTAAAGTCATCTTTTTTTGCTCAAATCTTAGCTGTATGCACAGTAGTGCAATTTTCAATGTTCCTGTGCCCACAGTGTCTTTTAGCTTAAATAGCTGTTTTTGTCTCTTGGTTGTGTGTGCATATTCACACGCTTACCTAGCTTTTGGTTTGGACTGACCTTCACACTGTCATCTCCTTTTATCACCTGGTTGAGTGTCTCTTCTTGTAACTGCCACTCTGAACACTGGTTCCAATTTAAATTCACATAGTTGGTGTGATATTTCTGGATCACTGATACAGCTCAGATCTTCATCTAATTAAAGTTGTGCAAAGAAAACTGTAGATTAAGAAGAAAGAGAATATACTCTCCTTCTTCAGTTAGATCACATTTTTGAAAGCACTTCAGCTTTCCATTCATAATGGACCAGGAACTTTTTTGTGCATCTTCCATTTAGTTGTGGGCAGATAATTTTGAATTAGAGTATGAGATTTATCAAAACCAGTGCTGTGATCTGCATTCTTTTCTGTGTATTAAGCATTGCCTACTAGATATTATTTTTGTTCAGTAAATGATTGGAAACACAACCTCATTGATGTGAGTGGTGAAGTACAGAATGGCAGGAGAGTAGTTGGGCTGCTCGATCCAGACTGCCAGTGGTGTTGGCACTTAAAAGTGAAATGCTTAGCTATTAAGAATTATTAATAATTTTAATAGCTAAGAATTAACAATAATTAAATATTATTTATTATTATTTATAATAATAAATATTGAGAATTATTAATAATTCTTAGTAGCTAAGCATTGAACTTTTAAGAATTATTAAGAATTCTTAATAATAATTATTATTAATAATAAGAGAGAATACTAAACTTAGTGGCAATAAAGATGTCCCTCCCCTTCTGTGAAAGGAGAAAGCTGTAAATTCTTCTGTGTCTGTTACTACTGTATTTTGGAAGGGGAAAATATGCAGAAAGCAAATGATTATGTATTTGTAGTCCGTCACTTTGTACTGAAACTGAGTTTTTTGAAAAATTCTCCTTGAAGACTGATGAAATACTGAAATTTCTCAATCCCTGTCTTTCATCTGTCTACTCTGTCTTTACAGACACCTCGAGGAAGCAAACCAAACTTTAGAAGCTATGTTGAGGCCTAAAGTTACAACTCTACCAGGCCACATCCAGGCGGTTTATGTCCAGAACATGGTGAAGCTCTATGCCTCCATCCTACAGCAGAAAGAGCAGTCTGGGGAAAAGGAAGCAGCTCAGGAAATTACACAGCTGATGATTGAGCGTTTGCCTCAGTTTGTACAGAGTGCAGATCTAGAAGTTCAGGAGAGGGTAAGAGAACAAAATTATTTTGGAATTTATCATACAAAATCTCTCGTTTGTCTTGGAGAATTCATTGTGGACGTGCACGTTTTATATAAGCCATTGTTATCCGTGGAGCGGTGAGTTTATTCTGTACTTTGTGTAACTCAGTGAAAGAGAAGCTTTAGAAGGAGGACTGGGAAAAGTGATGCCATTCCATGTCAGAGCTCAGATCCTTTTCCAGTTTAATACCACCTCTGAAGACTGCTTGAAAGAATTTCATTCAAAACAATTTCATTTTAAAATTATGCAAGCCCATAAGGACACAGCTAGAAGAGAGGGTTAACATGGCCCCACAGTTCAAGAAGGACAGGGAACTGCTGGAGAGAGTCCAGCACAGAGCCACCAAGATGATGAAGGGAGTGGAGCATCTCCCTGCTGAGGAAAGGCTGAGGGAGCTGGGGCTCTTTAGCTTGGAGAAGAGGAGACTGAGGGGTGACCTCATTAATGTTTATAAATATGTAAAGGGCGAATGTCAGGAGGATGGAGCCAGGCTCTTCTCAGTGATGCCCAATGGTAGGACAAGGGGCAATGGGTGTGAGCTGGAACACAGGAGGTTCTGCTTCAACTTGAGAAGAAACTTCTTTCCAGTGAGGGTGCCAGAGCCCTGGGACAGGCTGCCCAGGGAGGGTGTGGAGTCTCCTTCTCTGGAGACATTCAGAACCCGCCTGGACACCTTCCTGTGTGATCTCATTTAGGTTCCTGCTCTGGCAGGGGGATTGGACTGGATGATCTTTTGAGGTCCCTTCCAATCCCTGACATTCTGTGATTCTGTGATTTGCTCTAAACCTGCAGTTATGCTGCTTCTCTTAATTCCCGTAACAGAATAGAACAGTTAGCTTCTGCTGACATTCATTGCAGTTGATTTTTTTGGTTCAGTTTGTTAATATTAATCCAGAAATTCTGCATTTGTTCTTAGGCTTCTTGCATTTTGCAACTAATAAAATATATTCAGAAGCTCCAAATAAAAGAGGTACCTGTAGCTGAGGAAGTAATAGCCCTGTTTGCTGGTGAGCTGAACCCTGTGGCTCCTAAAGCACAGAAGAAAGTACCCGTTCCAGAGGGGTAAGGTTCCTTCTCTCTCCCAAAGCCTTATTTAAACTTTTAAACTCTTAAATAATAAAGCTAAGTGTATGATGAGAAACACTGAAATACTCAGGGATATTGAGTCAAGCTCTTTGTTTACTGCAATTCTTCCAGCTTGGACCTTGATGCCTGGATCAATGAACCTCCATCAGACAGCGAGTCTGAAGATGAAAAGCCCAAAACAATATTCCATGATGAGGAACAAAGGCATTCCAGACATAGACAGCCAGAAATAGATGAAGAGGAACTGGCCAGAGTGAGTGAATGTAAAAGGCTTTTCCTTACATAATGCAGTAGTAATGTTGTAAGTGCTACTAAAGCAGTTGGAGCTGTTGTGGATTCTCCATGTAGCCAGGGAACCGTTCTGCTCTCTGCAGCTCAGGAATACAGGTATTTTTGGGGGCATTGTGGAATACATCCAATATGAAGTTCTCTTGAAGTCTGGCTTGCCTATCTTGTCCAAATGGAAACAAAATATTATAAAAACTTGGCCCCTGTTAGAAGTTTTGAGCTCTTGTAAAAATCTGACCTGTAAACTGTGGTGTGTAGTGCAGTTCACTTCGAAGTACAGGTTCTTAAGGATGGACACTTGTGCTGAGCTCTGCAGCTATTGTGTTTTTTACACACCTCCTCCATTGGTGCACTACTGTTACTCTGTGTGCTCTATATCAGCAGAAAAAGAAGCAGCATCTTTGCTTATGGATTTATAGTGGCTTCTATGAATTACTCTCATGTGACTGCTCTCAGCAGTGATCCCACCTTTCCTCCTTCTGGCCTTTTTGTTTTCATAGAGAAAACTTCTTACTGATAAGAATCTTCACTTCTTCCTCTTTTTGCAAAAGTTAAAATAGAAACATTTGAATCAGCATCAAAATCTGATCTTCAGGAGTTACTCTCTAGAATTAAAAAGCAAAGAACGGGTGTTCTAAGGAATATTATTTATATTAGTACTTGTAGTTACATCCTAGTATGTCTTGTAACTCAACAAAGAACGGGTGTTCTAAGGAATATTATTTACATCCTAGTATGTCTTGTAACTCAGAACTGGTTTATCATGCTCAAGGTACTACGCTGTATTCTTTTTGCCCGTAGTTATGCATTGTTCCAAAAATTCAGGGAGATTGCATTTTGCACTTCACCTTTTATCCCTTTGCTTATAAACAAACATTCTAACTACAAATACTCTTTTACTTTCAGCGTCGAGAAGCCCGGAAACAAGAACAGGCAAACAACCCATTCTATATAAAAAGCTCTCCTTCCCCGCAGAAGGTGAGTGAGCCTGAATTAAAATCTCTTGCTGGCCTCTCCTGTAATTGTGTGAAGACTTGCTGAATGTCAGAGCTGCAGCTTCCCTCTGGGACATTGTGATTATTTCCACTACAGTTCTGATCACTTAATAGTGTGCTGATTGGAGTGGCTACCTACAACTATTTTTTTATAAGTCTTGTTTGTGTTGAGAAACTCACAAATGAGCTAATGTCAAAAGAACAGTCAGCTTTTTGTGGACCTCCATTTTAGAAATAAGGAAGTAGTCATTGTCACAACTCCCATTACACAGAGTAGTTTAGAACAGTCTTGGTTTAACTTGTCATGTAAAGCACAGTGTTTATATGTCATCAAGGACTCTCTAAAAGCTGTAGAGAAAACACTTCTCTGCTCCTGTGTCACAAATTCCTGTGCAGGTCGTTTATCCCAGCTCTGGGCAATGGAAGGGTTCCAGTTCACTTTGTTAAGAGCAATGAAAATAGAGTGAATCTTGAACATGCAGTGTGTTTTATGGATCAGAAGGTTGTTGTGGTCTCTTCTAACGCCTTTCTCAGGGAAAGAATCTGCTTTATTCCCTGTATATCCATAAGGACTGCCCCATTTTCCTCAACCTAAACCTCAACATTTATCTTTTGAAGCGGAAATTACCAATAAACCACAAACCAAAAATTCTTCAGAGAGTTGCAACAAGACTTTTTCAGAGGAGTAGCAGGGTTAAAAAACTGTAACTAGGAGTGTTTTATAGTATTTATCAGCTGGCTTTAAAATACACCTCACTACCACACAGGGTTTAGTATTGAGCTATTCTATTCCTATCCTTTAAAATGTTCACCTAAAGGATTAAACTGCTTGATGTTTTAAATGTGTATATAAATTTGTATCTGGCAATGCTCAGAATGTAACAGACTTTCATTTTCCCAGCGATACCAAGACACTCCAGGTGTGGAACATATACCTGTGGTCCAGATTGACCTTTCTGTCCCCTTAAAAGTTCCAGGTAAGTGCAGCTCATCTTAAAATTAATTACAGAAATCCAGTTAAGCAAAAGTAATAATTCCTTCTTAGGAATTCCTCCTTAGGTTTTTAAGGGCAAGGAGCATTCTTTTGTTAGACTCTTAAATATATCTCCTTAAGTTGAATGTGTTTGAAAACAGTGTTTTGCAGTCTGAGTGCAGTTCCTCTCAGGGCAGTATTAGAAGTAATTTTGTGATTAAGACTGTTTTGTAGCCAAGTCTGTAACATGTAAACAAACTACTGTTCTGTGTAGGAAACAGTCACCTTTGGAATGTCTTGGAGGGCTAATAAAGGTGATCAGGAGACATTAAGTGGAGTCCAATGATAGAGATACTATTTTAATATCTTGTTTCAAATATCATAAGATAGGTGTATATCCAGTGGGTCGTTTGATACAGCACTGGAAAGGTGTTGATAAAGTGCAGTACATTGCAAGTGAATTCTAAGTGCAAATATTTAGGGCTTATTTAAAGGTTTTTCCAAAAGTGTGGAAAGCTGTCATTATTAGTACAGCAGTGCCACCAGTTCTACTTAAAATATCGATGTTTAGCTGCCCTTTGTAATCCAGTTCGTGTCAACAAGAATTGGGGAGCAGGACAGAGCTCTCTCCTGGTTTTGGAGAGGAGGAGTGTGGCAGCAAAGCTGCTGCTAGAGGGGCTGTACGTGACATAATAGGGAAGCAGAGAGGTGTTGATCCTTCTAATTCTGAGAAGCTAGAAGCAAAGCTCCCTCCCAACATATTGTTTCTGTGATCAATGTCCATGTGGACTGTAGCCTGAAAGCAGTTTGGCTTCCTCTACAGGAATGACTATGTCTGACCAGTATGTGAAACTGGAAGAAGAACGAAGACACAAACAGAAACTGGAGAAAGACAAGAAAAAGAAAAAACAGAAAAAAGAGAAGAGAGGTAAACATCATCGCCACAACTCTCTGCACACGGAGAGTGAGGAGGACATTGCTCCAGCTCACCATGTCGATATCATAACAGAAGAGATGCCAGAGGTCAGTTGCTTTGGTGGTCTGAGTTGTGGGGTTTATGTGTGTGCTCTTCTGAAGAGATGATTTTTTTCCCCCCCTAAGAATTGCCAGCCACTCTGTATTGTTGCAGTTCAAGAGCTCTGATTTCTTGCAAAGCTGTTTAAGACATGACTGATGGAGATGGCCCTATGCTGTTCTTTGCAGGGGGAGAAATTACTGTCTTTGTGCACAAAAAGACAAAAATTGACACTGAAACTATTTTCAAAACCCAACAAAACAAACAATATGCAACTCTGCTGTAAAAGTAACGCTGTCCAAATAGTCACTTCATTTATTATGCTCTGCTGCTTCATTTTGACATTAACTTGCTGTCTAGTCAGCAGGTTTGCAGCTGATTATAATTAATTGCACATGCTAATGATGTAATCTGTATTTGTTCCTAAAATTTCCTTTAATCAAAACCGAGCAGCAGCAATTCAACTCCTGCAGTTTATGAAGAATGGTTTTCTGTTCTAAATTAATCTTGTAACTTGATGCTGCATTAAAGTGCATTGTTCCTATAACTTACTGTGCCTCATTACAAGCTGGCCTGTTCCAGGGTTAACAATCTTTAAAAAAACTGATTTGGGGGATGTAAAGCTTTAGTTTCAAAATTGCCTGTGGTTCACTTCTTCAGTGGATGGTCTCTTTATCTCTCCTGCAGAATGCTTTGCCCAGTGATGAAGATGACAAAGATCCCAATGATCCATATAAGGCACTTGATATAGATCTGGATAAGTAAGTGACGGTTCTGTATCTGAATTTACCTAATTGCTAACCAGAATGCATGAGGGCAAGTCTGGGGCTAAACAGGCAAAGGCACTCTCTACAGTCTGCTCGGTGAAAAGGCCAAGTCTCTTGCCATGTCTTGGATGTAACCTTAGATGATCATCCAGGCTTGGGTACCCACTGTGGCATAGATGATAAAAGCTAAGCTTGACATAGTGGGAGTTCTGGGAGGAACTGAGGAATCATTCTGTGTGACTGAATGGTGTCTGAAAGCACAGGCAGCATAGCTGGAATCAGATGTGAGAGAGTTAGTCTGAGCTTTTGAGTGTACCAGTAGCTCTGATCTAACCTGCATTGGCACTCTGTGTGAGCTGCATTCACCTGTGTTCATCTCACCCACTGCACACATGGCAAGCACGTATGCTCTGCGTTGTGCTCCAGTAACAGCCAGTTCATAACATCCTCATTGCCCTGTGGACATTCAGTGTGGTGCCACTGTTGAAAAATGTTGTTCTAATATGTTTGAGTGAACTGCATGTCATAACTTTGAGCAGAGCCTGGTCCCCATGCAGCTATGGGAGTTGTTTACAGTGCTAGCACCCCAGGCTGCAGTGCAGCAGACCCCAAATCCCTGCATGCCACGTGATAATTACAAGTGAGCTCTTAAGTATTTGCACATGGAGATTTTTTTTTTTTTTAATTGCTGTTTTACAAAATCACCATGCTAAAAATAATTGCCAATTTATGGGCCATGGGTGCCTCCTGGAAAGTTTTGAAGACTGTACAGGCACATGTGGGTACTATCTCTCTCTCTCTCTCTCTCTCTCTGATACTTGACTTTAAAGTCTGTGCTGTTCTCTGTAATTCTCAAACCTGAAGGGCTTTGGCCCCTCAGTACCTTGCAAAAAGGTGATGTAACATTTTAAAAAAATGAAAGAACAGTTTCTGAAAAACTTCCTTTTTTTTTTTCATGAGCTAGTCACGTTCCTCTGAGTCTGCAGGAGAGAAATATATAAAAGGAAATTAATTTCCAACTATAGAGCTCCTATTTGCATGACAAGCCTCAGCAGCGTAGAAACCACTGAGCAGAGCAGTTTGTGAACGCTGTGCTCCAGGAGGCATCTTTGGACCTGCGTGTTGTTTCCATCCACTCTCTTTCCATTTCGTATGAGTTGCTGTGCTCTCCTGTCACGTTTTCTCATGTCTCTGTCCTCTCTCTTTCTCTCTGTGCTTGCACTGCTATGTCTGTGTCACGCTCACATGCAGTCTGGTTTCAGGGAAGCCTTCCAGGTAAGAATATATTGCTAAGTGATTGACCTTTGTCAGATTGATTTCAGTGAACAGTGTAAATACTTGAAGGGTGGTGAAACTATTGAAATCCTTGACTCTCAAATTAGCATGAATTGATTTTATCATTGACTTCCAGCACTCATCCCTATTCCTGTACAGGTGTATGTGAAATAGCTTAAAGATGAGATGTGTTTACTGTTTGAAACAGCTGGGGTCTATCTTGCCTTTACAGTGTCTGTTTCAAAGTGAAAAATGAATAAATGCAATATAAACAAATAAAATAAGGCAGGTGAGACCATTAGAAATCTTGCTGAACAGGTGTTTGCTGCTCAAACATGGAAATTAATGTTAAGTAAAAACTGTAGAAATAGAAAAAGAGGCAATTGGTGAACTTCCCACGGATTTCTGGACAGTGTTTGACAAGAATGGAGAAATTTCTGTGGTGTTTTTATCCAAGTAATGGATTTGGAATACAGTGTAAATCTGAACTACTCCCCATACTTTTTTGGAAACAGGTACCTGAAATTAACCACAACTTTTTGAAGGTGATGGTAGAGTACAGGTTCATAGCATGAACTTCCAAAGTGAAGCAATTTTTTGCTTCAAATAATTTCCAATTGGAGTGATCTGTTCAGCAATAACAAGGAAAACCAGGTCCTTCGAGGGCTGTTTGAGCCATGCAGTCATTCCACTGCTTGGATTTCCACACTGTTGCAAGTGTTTCCTACTGGTTCACATCTTTGTTCTTCCTTTGAGAGTGGGTTCACAGAAATGCAGTATAACACTATGTGTATGTATTCTTCTGTAGGTGTTACTCAGCCTGCCAATCTGTAGTTATCACTTGTAAGAGTGATCAGGTGTCAGCAAGAGCTTGACTCTGTCACCTTCAGAATGTTTTTATTAACTTCTAATCTGCCTGTGGTTACATAAACAAACTTCAGGTACAAAAGTATGTGCTGATTTAAGATTTTGGGGCCCAACTTTTAAAAAACAAAGCATACCTTGTCTTGAACAGCCAGCAGATGGTCTGAGCTAAGGGAGATTGGTTGCAGAAAGGTAGTTAATGGTCTCTTTATTTTAAGACCCTTAGCAGACAGTGAGAAACTGCCAGTGCAGAGACACAGAAATGTTGAGACCCTGAAGTCACCCGACTCAGAAGCTCCCTTAGTTGAGAAGAAGAGCAAGAAACCCAAAAAGAAGGAAAAGAAACACAAAGAAAAAGAGAGAGACAAAGGAAAGAAGAAAGAGAAAGAGAAAAAGGTAGTAGAGGAGGAAGAAGAAAAAAAGGTAACTCTCCAAGACTTGCATTATTTTAGAAACTGCTGTTCTGGGCCGTATTTATTGCTGTGTTTTGTTTGCTGCTTAGGAACAGTCACGTTTGACAATTCAAACAGCTGAATGTTTTCAACCTTCATTTCCTTAAATTTTTACAACCCATAAAAGCAGGTATTTAAAGATTTCTGTTTAATAAAATTAACACTTGCTTAGCCTCATAAGTTGGCAGAAGTCAGCTTACTGCAGCCTCTGCAGCAGATCTTCCAGATCTAATTTGGAAACTGAATTTACTGATGTTTTGTCTGTTTTTGAGATGGGGAACTCTTTAGCAAAGTACCTGGAACTCACTTTTGTTCTATATCCTGTCCCCCATGTACTTCAGAATCTTTCAGTTATAAAACTTGACATTAGTTGTCAGTTACTCTGAAGACTTGAGGTGTCCTTCTTGTTAACTGCTCTGCAGAGATGCACTTTTCCTCTGAGATGCAGCTGATGTGCTTTGAATGCCTGTAGATACTGTGATACCTGGGGTAATTTGCAGGTACTGTCAGCTATGTCCAGGTTTGGAAATGTGCTCAAAGGCTGAAGTTAAGCTTCTTAAATTGTTTGCTCCTAAATGTGTTGCAGCATCTCTGTATGAGCATTCTGCAGTGATGCATCTCCATGAAAACTTAAGGTTTTAATTTAATTGATTATTTTATTGATTTATTTTTAAGAATGGTATCAAATCAACCATAATGGTGGTGTTTTCTCTTGAAATTCAGGGGGAAGACTTGGATTTCTGGCTCTCCACTGCTCCACCACCTGCTCCCACTACCCAGCCACAGGTAAACATCTTAGCACATCACAGGAAACTTTCTTATGATTGCATCTTAGCTGTGGTACGAGTGCTTTGTCATGCTGCAGGAGAGAAGGGGAAGACAGGCTTCATCTCCTCAACTTATTGCTGTGAAGCAATGACATTTTATCTCCCTGGTTTACAGACACTGGAATATGGGAGGTTTCAAGCTCATTCTGCTGTGCAGATCAATGGATAGAAATACAGATGCAGCTACAGGCTTGGCAGATTGTAATATTACTGGTGGTTTTTCATATTATTGTATGGGTTTATTTCCTAATGTGAGCTAGACACTGGCAATATTAATAGACATGAGAGAGACAGTCTGTAAGAAAGTCACATGAATTTTGATGGGAGATTTTGGAGGAAGAGACAGACAATATGAGGGGATGGGTCCCTTACAGGAAATCTTTTGTATCTTGTGATCAGGTGATTGTATTTGCAGGGATTCAGAGGCATAAAATGAAAGGTTTGATACCATGTTGGTTTAAGGTAATTTTTGAAATAACAGTTGGTGTCAGGGGGAGTGTCACTGTTAAGATTTCTTTTGGTGTGAGATTCAGTTGCTTCAACTATGTTCTGTTAGTGTCATAATCCTTCTGCTAATCTACTCAGAGTGAGCCTGAAGTGGGTGCTGCTGTTGTGGCTGAACCTCAAGAGGTAAAAAAGGAAGAAAGGGAAGAGCGAGATGAGGAGGAGGATGATGAAGGAAAGGTAAGTAGTTTAAATTGCTGACACCCTTAGCCATAATCTCCTAGTGTCCTGTGTTCTTTAAAAAGAAGCACCTGGGAATTACCAACAGCATCATACTCAGTGTAGTGACCACCTGCAAATAGGCAGCAGTGGGATGTTGTGCTCTCGAGGAGCATGAAACACTTCATAGTAAGAGGTTTGGTTGTTCCAAAGGGTCAGGTAGCAGTTTTAAAGCTGAGCTTCCAAACCCCTGAAGAGACTTGACCTTCTGCTGATCCCAGGCTGCTTTGGGTTAAAGTATTGTTAGGTGAGTGGGGAGCAAGGGTTTTCTGTGACTCAACACAGAATGGCTGCTGGGGATTGAGGAATGGGGACTCCATTTGAGGCTTCTGCAGTAGTAGGAAACTATGTTCAGTCATCCCAAGGGCTGTGTAGAGTGGGAGTCTGTAGTTGAAAGATTGGTAGAGGGGCCGTGATGTAGTGGCTGGAAATGTAGGGTTTCTTTAAGGGTTTGTTGTAGTTTCTTGTTGTTCTCGGTAGAAATCCTCCAAGCATAAGAAGAAAAAGCACAAGAAAGAGAAAGAAGAGAAATCAAAGGATAAAAAGAAATCCAAAAAGAAGAGTCATCACAGCGAGGAGGAGACAACAGAGTCGGTGCAGAATGGAACACTAGATGATGAACCACTACCAGTGAGTAGCTGTGCACTGGCAGTGTTTGCCTTGGGGAAAAGGCAGGAGCTACACTGTGTTGGGAGGAAGGACAGTGACAGCTCCTTTCAGAGAAATTTCTTACATTGTGACTGTGATTTCTTTCTTTTTTTTCTTTTCAGCCTATGTCCAGTTACCGCCTTCTGGCTGAAAATCCCTACATTAAAATGGTGAGACTTTTGGCCTTCAAATCCAGATGTCTTCTGCTTTTGTGTTCTCCAAGAAAATACGGGGTACTCTGGGGATAGTATAGTGACTTTATGTAGGCAACATTTAACTGAAGAACTGTTTAAATCCCAGGAGGTAGAAACATAACAAAGCTCCATTTCCATTCTTTTGGATGTCCCACTTAGCAAGTTTTTAAGTCGCTATTTTCCTACTGCTTAGCAGTTCTGTGGAGCTGATCACCAGTGTGCTTTTCATTATCCTATAGCTGTACCAAATTACCTCCTTTGTGAAGCTTGCTTTCTTCTCATGCTGTGTTCTGTTCTCGTGCTCTGCTGTTTGATGTTTCTGAATCTTTCCTGTGATTTTTTTTTTCCCCTTCATTTGCAGACCTACGATATTCAAGGAAACCTCCAGAATGATAGTCAAGTTACTGTTTCTGTTATCTTTGAGAACAAAAGCACTAGCTTCCTTAAGAGCATGGAACTAAATGTCCTGGACTCTCTCAACACTAAAATGATCCGACCAGAAGGATCATCGGTACATGATGGGATACCTGTGCCCTTCCAGCTACCCCCTGGTACGCAGCTTTGCACAGGGTTCTTGGAGCATGTCTAGTCCTGCAGTGCCCTCCTGTGGAAAGAATTGTTTGAATTTCTTGCTGTTTTCCTGAAAGACATGTCCCTCTGCTTGGGTGTTTGCTGGGCTTTCATGAAATTCACTGGAGAGGATGAGCCTTCTTACAGTATGGCTATAAATGCAGGTGGTTCTGTACAGCAAAAACAAAGCCTCTAACGTAGGGCTGGGGAGTCCAAATGTCTGAGTTCCCTTTTTTTAGGTGACTGCAGGCTGGCACACCTGTAAACATGCCAACATCACCAACTACAGGAATCCCAAACACATGAGGAGTTTGCTATGAGATTTAAAATTGAACAAAGCTATTAGTTCTTGAACTGTTAGAATTCATTCTGGGTTTATTTTCAAGCTCTTGCCCCACTGTTTTAATGTCAGAGGCCGTACACAGTGAAAGTTTGCCATAAGTATGCGCTTAGTTGGGTGGGGAGCTGAGCCCTTAAGAAGTATTAGACACAAAGTTGAAGGATAATGGCTTCATCCATAGTACAATAGTGCAGCTGAATCACTGAGCTTCTTCGAATTTCACTTCCTTTGCCAAAGAGTTAATTTGAATATTGAAACAGCTCACAAAAGTCTTCTGGGATTTAGTGGCTTCAGGGTGCATTTTGATCCCCCATGGAAAGCAGTGGGGTGTTTGTTTATTATCCTAGATAAGGCAGTTCTTGACACAGACTTGTATATTAAAAGTAAAATGTAGAAACATTAGAATGTGAATTGGTTCAGAAAACTACTTGGAAAGATGTATATTTTCCACTTACACAAACAAAATATATTGCTATTGTGACATACTTGCCCAGGCACTTGCTCAATAACCTCTACCAGATGCCAGCTATCACTGCTGCTTTTCAGAGACCCAAGAGCTATGGGCTGTAATACTGGTGATTCACAACAAGAAATGTGCACATAACCATCTTCCATCCACATGGAAATCTTCAAACGTGGTTCAGAAATAGTCAGTGTATAAACCTTAGCTGCTACTGAGCAGTTTATTCTAACCATTATTTAGATATGGAAACCATTTTCTGACCTGACTTCTCCCTCTCCTCTCTTCATGCTAGGAATCTCTAATGAAGCCCAGTTTGTGTTTACACTTCAGAGTATTGTTATGGCTCAGAAGTTAAAAGGAACACTGTCCTTTATAGTCAAAGTAAGTGCAGCTTTCAACTCTGTGCTTCTGCTTCCTTTGGAACCGCGTAAGGGAGCTTGACTTGGGTGGAAAGCACTGCTTTCGAGCTTTTTTTTTTAGGCATCATTTCATCTCTGCTGCACCATTCTGTGATGTGAGAAGTATTTTTACATGACATCTTGTGCAAAGAGTGTCCCAAATACTGCGTAAGCATGTCCTAAATTGTCATTCTTGGCAGTGCGTGAGCAATGCAGCCTGAAACGTGTGCCACATTGTCAGCTAGAAAATCACTGCAGTAGTGCATCTGCTGGGAGAGGAGGTCAACCAGCTAGTGAGGGCTGCAAACCAGAGCCTCTTTCTTCTGATCTCAGTTACCCAAAGAGCAGTTGGATGCTGCTACCTGGTACAAGGCTGGAAAAATAGTAGTAAGAATTAGGTGCAGTTAGTAAGGATGGAGAACCAGAAGAGTGAGGTTAGCTGAAGGCATTGTAACTATCAACCTGTATAAGACCCTGTGGGTTTCTCATCTTATTTCAGTAAAATTATTAATGAAGGAGCTGTGTGAACAGCTCGAGGGAAGTGAATAGAGACAGTTGTGGCTACTTCTGAGTCAGTCATTATCTCTATTTTAAGGGTTTTTTAAAAATAGTATGCTAGTCCTATTTTCAGTACCTAAGAATCTGGGAGATATTAATTTATTATTTTGCTTGGGAAATAATGAACTGTCAAACCACATCTCCAAGTGTTAGTTTAAATTCAGTCTGTTCAATGTGTTTCACCAGAGTGCAATCAGAAACGCAGCCAGATCCATGCAGTTGTGTCCTTTATCTGCTCTAGGTGTATGTGTCAGCCCAGCTGTCCAAATCTTGTCTCTCAGTGGCCTGATGGTTGTTCTCAGACTGATCCTTCAGGCCCAGCAAGGGTCTATCAAAGGGAATTGAACCTTAAATCTTCCTTAGTGCCTGTTTGGTAGGTGGGGGTGGTGCCTCCTCTTGCTGCCTCGGGGCTCCCATTCATCTCCTTTCCTTTGACCTGTTGCAGAATGATGAAGGTTCAACCCATGAAAAACTAGATTTCAAATTGCACTTCAGTTGCGCTTCATACTTGATCACGACGCCTTGCTATAGGTAAGTGCCGATTAGGGGGCACGACACTGGTGCTTTTGCTGCCCATGTGAAGCTGAGCTTTGGCTGCAGGCCATCTCCACGAGATACACAGCATGCTTTTGACTTTGGCTGCTTGTGATTGCTTTGGTTACAGTTCAGTTATCTTGTGTAATGTTTGACTGTTAAAATATGTCCAGCAGCTTATTTCAAGTGATTCTGAAGAAGGAGCTGTATGCCCTGTAGGCTGGCAGAGGTTGTGTGGAAGTAGCTGTGGTTGAGGTCATAGGGTACACCAGTGGAATCTGGAGTATGGTTCCCATATTTGCTGTAAACCCATTTTCCTAGAGCTTGGTAGTACTTAAACTTCTGCATCCTGAGATGTCTCAAGGTCTGCATGGGGCTAGCGTGGCAGATATCACTTGAATTTCTCTACAAGTGTTTACTTTCCTTCCTGTTTTGCAGCGATGCTTTTGCCAAGCTCCTAGAGTCTGGGGATCTGCACATGAGTTCTATTAAAGTAGATGGAATTAGCATTTCTTTCCAACATCTACTGGCAAAGATCTGTTTTCATCATCATTTTTCAGGTGAGTCTTCCTTGCTGCAGAACGTTCTGCAAAATTCCACATTCTAAAATCAATGCTGTGCTTGGTGAGTGCAATGCTCCGTGGCCTCAACGACGACAGAAGCAGGTGACGTGCAGATTAAATAAATTTCAGAGAGGAGGTTTTTTTTCCAGTTTCATAACACATTGGTATCCTCAAAGCAGAGAATGTTCTTCAAAATGAACTCTCCTTCTGTCCCTGTGGCTTTCCTCCAGCCCAGCGAGGCACGTGACAGGTATCACGGGAGCAGCTTGCTGATAGCTGGGGCTGTAACTGTTCTCTGGAGGGTGTGTTTGATTTCAGTCAGCCTGCCCCTTTTCTGTGAGGATTTATTAATTAAAACACAAGGATGAAGCAAAACCAATGGCTGTTTCATCATGCTCTGGTGTGTGCATTAGACATTGCCTCACTGAAAGTATTTCTGGGGAAGAGATCTACATTCCCATCAGCATTTTTGCCACAAAACATTTGCAACTTACTCAAAAGACAAATGACTAACCTTGTTCTTGCGAAATACCCCAGATAGGAGCCAGGAGGAGCCAGGCACGTACATCATCTTAACCCTGACTTCCTCCTCCCCTCACAGCAGAAGCTTCTGCTCTCTGAGGCTCAACAAAGCAGTAGTTCCTCTTCACAGGAAGCAAAACTTCTATTAAAAAGTTGTCCCACTAAATGAAAACTCTTTGTTTTCTTCACAGTTGTGGAACGCGTTGATTCGTGTGCATCAATGTACAGTCGTTCTATCCAAGGCCATCACGTCTGCCTACTGGTAAAAAAGGTGAGAGCATTGTACCACTCTGAAACAAGACCTGAGAGAAACTGAACCTTCAACCTCTCCTGTCTTAACAGAAAGAGGGTAATATTATAAATACTGCAAGGCAAATAACCGTGTCCTGGGCTGCACCC